ACATCCCACCTTAAATATGTTTGTTTGGGAGGGGAAACACGTTGTACATCACAGACAAACGTGCATCATTGAATCAAACTCTACTTACCCTCTGGCAACATTCTGCAAGCAAAACAACAGGCTATATAGCAATCACAATATCTTAATACACTAAACATTCCAATACAATTCAATAATATACTTTACCTTATCATTTATACTTACTACATTTAATATTTCAACCTTACATAACCATACCATAATCAGGAAACTTTATCATAGATAATTAATCAGTTAATCAATAGTCCATTCAGGTTTATTTTAAAAGTCCTTGAATCATTCTCCATGTTTCTGTCCATCAATATTCAATTTTTCATCACTATTTACAAACAGAACATGTATTATACATTACTAATTTTGTTTATCACCTCCATCAGTCATTTGGCTTTTGAGGCACGATCTGAGTCCCTTTTACTCCGTGGTTTGCAAAGTCCAAGTCTTTCACCTTCCTGTTGTAGTCAGGTGTGCCGTGGACTGGTCCGGTCATTACTGCTTCCTTCAGCTGGAAACACGACTGCTGGCACTCAGGGGTCCCTCTGATGATCACTGGCTCCTTCTTCCGGGTTCTCTTCCGTCGACTGGAGGTCATCGGCCACTCGGTTGTCCACTGGACGTCCTCTGCTTGTTGTTTGTTAGTGACGTCTGCTTTAAGTCTGCCTTGGGGCTTCACTTTCTCAGCTGGGGAAAGGGTAGGCAGTTCCCTCTCCTCCTCACGAACACCTCTGGATGCATCCCTCTTTAGGACAGCAGGGCTTATGCCTTCCTCCTCACTCACACATTCACCCACAGGTACTTTCATTACAAGGTTTTCCCTATGTGGGGGACCACTATCATGGGTCACTTTAAGATTCTCATGCAAGTTTCTCTTAAGTGCAATCAAGAATTGGTTTGTTTTCATTGCATTATGTGGGGGACCACTATCATGGGTCACTTTAAGATTCTCATGCAAGTTTCTCTTAAGTGCAATCAAGAATTGGTTTGTTTTAATTGCATTGAATATGTTAGCTGATTCTATTTCTTTATTCAGTGATACGCTAGATAGGGGGTTGCCTTGCAAGGATTTAAGGACCACTTGTTCCACCCCTGCCAAAAGCAATTTTCTCCCCTCTATAATTCTCAGTTCTACTACTTGGTCCTCAGGACAGAATACTCTTTCCTGGGCCTCATACAAGCCTTTCTGTTTTTCACGAGTACATCCCAAGCTTGGCTCTGCCACTTCTAAGGACTTTTTTCTATATAAATGCTCCTTATCCTTGCAGGACCTTTCAGGGCATCCAGGAGATAATAAAGTGGCTGTACTGGTGGTTGCTTCAAAGCAACCTACCAAACTAATTTCCTCCATCTGCTCCTGAGCCAAACTATTTTTATTTGAATTCTTTAGAAAAGTAAGATCAGTTCCTGGATGATAATTAGGCTGACTTCCAAAGATACTTTTTCCCTCAAGGCTTCCCTCTTCTACTGTATCCATTTCTGCTGCAGTGGGTGATTCCTGGCCCCCTTGTGAGTATGTAAGTACAAAAGCACTCTTAACATGCTCTATCAAATGTAAACCCTCTCTATATTTCATGTCTTTATCAGTTACAGACTTCTCTGGGTATTCAAGGGTCAGTGGAATGGGATTCTTTCTAACTTTTGTAGTACAATCATTCAAAGTACTATCTTCCATCTGTTCCTCAATACAGGAAGGATCATTAGGGGTTTTCACAATAACCTCATCAGCCATTTTGGTTACCTCATGGTTCTATTCTAAGTTGGGGCATCCCTGGTTTGATTCAGAGATTTGGGATTCCATTTTTCCCTTAGGGATTGTTAACTGCACTCTCAGGGAACCTGTTACTTCAAAAGCACTCTGCACATGTTTAGTTAGATATAGACCAATTAAACAAGGTGCAGGAATTTGATCAGAAATTGCCACATACCAATTTCCGATCCAATCTCTATAGTTTATTTTCACTTTAGCAATGGGTAAAATCATTGGAGTAGAACTTATTCCCTTGATGGTAACAGTCTGGTTTGGGAGAATTTGCTCTTTAGGAATCACCTCAGGATGACACAGGGTTATGTTAGAACAAATATCAACCAGTGCTACATAAGACTTTTCATTAATAAGAATCCTCTCACCAGGGTTATGTATTAAAATATCTTCTGCCTTTATTAGAAAACATGACCTGACCTGGGCTAGTGGCAGATCAGAATTTTCTGTTGTGCCGGTTTCCATGGAGACAGAACCTTGGTTACTGCTTTCAGTAGCTTCTGTAGTTTTCCAGCAGTATACGTTCTTGGTCTGACCATCATTCTTCCCAACATTAAGTTTATTTTTCATACAACTGAACTGTAAATGACTGACCTCTCCACAGTTACAGCACTGTCTTCTTCGCTCACTCCAAGGCGATCTATTAAACTTTTCCATAGGGTTCATTCATTTCGGTGGACTAGGACTAGGCAATTTAGGTGAGGCGCCACTCTGGCCTTCTTTCCCTGGTGCTTTGCTGACGTAATTTTTATTAAAGGGTTTCTTATGGTGGTATGTCATGAGTTCAGCTAAAGAAGATCTGGAATCTGAGGGGTTAATTACAGCTGAGGAAAATGCTGGGCAATTAGAAGCACAGACAGCTGATTCACCACCAGATTCTCCCCCACCCAGTAGCCAGAGTGAGAGCTAAACTTCGGCAAAGACTCATGACACGGAGGTCAGAGAATTGCATGAATGCTTCCCACAGGAACATCAAGTCAACCAGTCCTGAGTTTTAACAGGATGGAAGACTTCTAGGAGTTTGATGGCTGTTTGTGCTATATAATCTGCACCTAGAAGGCTTGGAAGTTGTGGAATCAACAAGTCAACACTCTGGCTTGCATCCACACTCCTGCTTATCTTGGACCTTGTTCTCTGGACCCTTGGCTTTGGAGTCTGACTATGGTTTGTGTTTTGGCTTTGGCATTGTGGTATCTGCTTTGCATCTTCTGGACTTCTAATATTGGACTTTTGCCTGTTGAGACCTCCTGGGAATGTGACATGGTCCGAATTTGCCTGTTAAAATTTATTTCAGAGAACCTGTAGTCTCTAATCTGCCCAATGTAATCTATTGTTTCACCTGCTTCTAATAGATTTTTAGGATTTTTGTTCTTAACTAAATAACGCAATTCCCCAGGCAAAATAGAATAAAATTGTTCCAACCCAATCACATTTTTCATTTGCTCTAGAGAAGTGACATTCTCACATTCCATCTATTTGTCCAAACATTGAAGAAGTTTAGCTCCTATCTGGGAATAAGATTCTTCAGGCTTTTTGGTCAGGGAATGAAATTTTCTCCACAGGTGTTTTGCACTGATGCCAAATCTAGAAAATACAATTTTTCTATATGCTTCAAAATCTCTAGCTTGCTCCAGAGGCATCTGAGAATACAACTCAGCTAAATCTCCATTTATTTGGGATCTCAAAACCATCATCCCTTCATCATTCTTAACATTAAAGTCCCAGCATGCCCTTTCAAATGATGTGAGGAAAGATTCAGGGCAGTCTCCTTTTCTATATTGGGGAAATTTCTTTAAGCTGATTTTTGAGAGGTTTCCCTCACTGGAGAAGTGATTGTTATTACTATTATTGTTTTGAGCAGCCAATTCTAATCTTTTCATTTCCATTTGAAATTCCATTTGTTTTAACTCCAACTCCATTTGTCTGTTTTCTTGCTCAGCTTTTTCTCTCATCTCTATTTGGATTTTTTCCTGCTCAAATGTCATTTCTCTCTCTCTTAATTCTATTTGTCTGGCCTCTGCTCTCTCCTTTGCCCTGGCTTTTTCCAATTCTAATTGATTTCTCATAGCTAGCTCCTTCGATTTAAATTCATATTTCAGCTTCCATTTCTCAAAATCTGGTGAGCTTAGAACACCTTCTCTCCCTGAGGCACCCTCATGAGTCTCCTCCCATTCCATAGCTAGAGAGTCTCCATTTCCCTCCACTACCTGAGGTAAACTTTGTGCCTCTTGAGGATCAATTACCTCCATTCTTAGCTTTTTAATTCTTTTGGTTGACATAAGTATGTATACTTCTTTGATAAGAGCTGGTTTCTATTGCAGAGTTAGTCAGGCCTCTTTTTAAAACACTTTTTCACTGTCGTTTTCTTTTCCCAGTTTTTTTCTGGGGTACTATGTAGTTCTCACTTGGCAGCTAAAGATGGCTACACTTTTTCTGGCACCATGCCAGCCATGACTTTTCTTGGTCAGAGACAACCTTTTTGCCTCCAGATTAAAAACAAATTCTGTTTTCAAGCCTCTGCTTTTTATGTTCCTTTCACCTCAGACTGTTCTGACCCTGGCTTCTGCTTTTCATCCACAAGCGCTCCCTTAACTCTCAGAGCCTTGGATTTTAAACTAGCCCACTGGGTCTGTTCAAATCCTGAGGTAACCTCAAAAGGAACTTTCCCTTCAGAGTCGTTCACTAGTTTAGTCCCCCCAGATGTGGGATCAGAAGCCCCGCCACTAAGCTTTACCACTAAAGCACTAGCAGATAACCTACTTCTTTACCACAGACTAAAAGGTACCTTTGACTCAAACAAAATTCACTTTTAACTCTGGCTTGACTGGATTCTTTTGGATCCCACCACTGGACACCCATTGTGACATTCACCTCCTTCAGGCACTTACATTTTTTGCCCTCACAAAGTCTCCAGTTGTGTTTTCCTTTCACTGCCACCTGTGGATTACCTCAATCCACAAAATAATGATGTTTGATCAGACACTTGTGAATGCAAACAAAACTTATTTATTGAAGTGAAGCCAATTTATTAATCACAGAAGTTCTTCAGATGTACATACTCTTCTCTTGCCATATAATTTCCACCTTCTCTATCTATTTATCTTAACCAGTCTCTAACTCTCTCTTCTGAGTAACTCTCTATCTATCTCTCCCTGACTCACACCAACTCACTCTCTGACTGATTGACTCCTCTTCTCAGGCTCCGGCTTTTAACCTCTCACTTGGCTCCGCCTCACCATTACATTTGCCTAGTACATGAATAATACATGACTTATTTTGCATAACAAGCAGCGAACGCTACACCCACATACATTTTCAATACGCATTTTCCATATCCATAAATTTAAATCACTCATATTGAATGAGTTTTTCTATGCAGCTTAAAAATAAAATAAATTTTAAGGGTGTCATAATCTCCCTGTGTTTATTTAAAACTTTCCAACCAAATAATCTTTAAAAATATAAATCTCTTCTCAGTTAAACATTTTGGAAAAATAGACCAGCTGAGTCGAGAGTATGGAATATAAAGACAGGCATCAACGCTGATTTTTTTAGAGGAAGAGTTTTAGAGGATGTAGTCTATGCAAGCATATCAAGCAAAATCCAAAGAAACAAAACAAAACAAAAAAGACAAAAACATGTGGCACCTTAAAGACTAACTATTTTAACTATATTTTAATGTGAGCATTTATGCACAAGAGGAAAAATCACTGTATCACTGAAACAAGTAGTGTATCTTTCATTGAACTGGGTATTACAAACAGAATTTACAAGTCAGATACTCACTCTTCCTGATCTATTGATTTATTCAGTACATTATGCATTAGAAGGACATTCAGGATTGCAGATAGTGTGTGTTTTAGGGGAAGTGCAGTCCTTAAAAGGTCAAAAAAGTAATTGGGAGGTAATATAATTGTGTGAGATTATATAAAAGACCACAGTTATTCAGCTTGTTTCATTTGGTCATTAGCTACTGAGCTGACTATCTATCTGGATTGAAATTGATTTAGTTATGTTAATGTAGAAAGTGGGAATTTAAGTACTTCAGCTTCTGTTACCTAGAGTTCAAGTCATTTCTAATCTTGTAGGCAAAACTTAGTCCAGTCAAGCATATCCTCTATAACAACTAGATCCTAAAGACACTTGTTTTGGAGATACATTAATTTAACTGGAAATTACGTAAATTGCAAATTGGTTTAAATTTGCTGATCATCATAATACTTCATATTAATATATCATTTATGAGTGTTCAGACTAATTCATATATGTTATCTGAATAATCTTTACTACAACCCCCTCAGATACGTCAGCATTTTTGTTCTTAGATTGCAGATGGCCTGCTGGGCTGAGAGGTCATTTGTTTGCCGAAGGCCATCTCAGGATTTCAGAAATGAAGTGGGATGTGACATGAACATCTGCTAGGCCTGCTAACTCAAAAGTAAGTCTCACATAATTCTTCACTTCACTGTTAAGACCCATTGGGCTCAATGGAATTCCCTCTTAAGTCAACAACTAGCAAGTTGTGTGAAGATCTTTCTGTTACATTATCTTCTAGATTCTGGAGTCGAGTATACTGGACTGCCTTTTCTATCTTACACGGATTTAAATATTTACTACTTCTATATTTGCTTTTCAGACTAATGTTTTGATTCAACTTTGTCCAAGGTAGCTAAAGCATTTTAACTTGAATCTGGAAACTGAAGGAGAAATCCTACTCAGTCATGAATTTTCTGGATAATGCTTATAGCTACCTTTTAGCTTCAGCTCTGTGCTGTGAAAATGGAAATGCCAATATAGCCTATCTCGCAGGCTGGAATACTACCTGGATACTTAATTGGTGCTTCCTTAGGGGTTCCTTAGCCAGATCACTATTCTTTCATCAGCCCCACTAAAATTGTTGATAAGAATGTATGTGAAAAATTAAATTAATTAAATAAAAATTCCAATTACAAATGAAAAACAGAAATTAAAACTTATAACACAATGCTACTGTCACTGACTTCTTACCACATCCAGATCTGCTGTAGGATTTTATGTGCATATGGAGCTCTTATCTAAGCCTGCTTCTCCCATTTCTTTGAAGATAAAACAACCTTGCACATGTGACCAAGGAAAACATGGAAGGAAACCAGTCTGTCTCCATTACACTGAATGGGGGAGAACTTTCAAGAACTGAAGAGTTCTGTATGGGCAGCAGGACCCTGCAAACACAAGGGATAACTAGACAAGGCGATTATTTCAGGGATTGTTTTCCCACATGTACTTTTCTCCATTCATTTTACTTATGAAGTATTGAATGAACCTTCTATCCTTTATGCAAAACGTTTTGGGTATAATGTAGAACCGCACCTAATCGTTACTCTGGTTTCAGACCTCTTTATTTAGAAACCTTCATAACTGACCCCTGGCTCACTGAAATTTTTCAATCGTTAAAGTAAGTTGGTTCATGTTCTCTTTTTAAGTGAATTTCAGCCAGATATTAAGCAAACTCTGAATGATTTATGTATCGCTGACAAAACCATCTGCAGCTGATGACCTTGCATATTTTCCACAAAGAAGCAAAACACAGTTTCAGATGAGATTGGTTTTCAGCTTGGAGAGCCATTTCAAAGCCATTTTCTGCACAGCCACAAAAAGAATCTTTCCAGCAGGCATTGAAAAGATATCAGGTAAACTGGTTAGAACAACTCCATTTTCAGCACCCAGATATGACACTGCATTCATAGCAGTGTCTTGGATGTGTTTGGCGCATACAGGCATTGTTCACAGCAAGCCCAGGCTCCATATGTTGGAATCTGGCCTGAGGACCACACACATTGTTCCACTTTTCCACCCTTCTTCCACTCTTTGGCAGCCTTTCACTCCATATGAAAATCTACCCTAGTCAAAGGGGAGGGGGGAATCAGTAACCTATCCTCTGATGAGCGGATGCATTTTCTATTTCCATCTGTTTGGATCCCACTGCTGATACCTATGCACTGAAGCCATCTGTCTCGTGAATCCTGTCGCTCCCTCCTCCTTTTCTAGCTAGATGTGTACCTTGAGGGGACTCACTGAGAGTTTCCAAAAGCCACCATGATCTAAAAGGGAGCCAGTTGCATGGCTGGAATTAGTGGGCATTTGGCAAAGCCCACAAAAAGGGCTCCATTGCTAATCCCCAAAACTCCCAGGTCCTTTCCCCTCACTATTGCTGCTTTACCCCCACCCACCCATCCAAGTGTTTTGCTATATTTCAGGATAAAATCCTTTACTACTGGGTTGGCAAATTCTGTGGGTGTGGGGACCATTTTTTCCACTTAGTCAACTGTTCAAAGCTTGCACACACACACACATACATAGTAGGCTTCCTTCAGTCTTGAGAGACTATGGCAATGTGCTCTGAATAGAGGACTTGGAACAGTGTCTAGTGTGGCTGAGAAGGCCAATTTGAGAGTGACAATCCCTTCCACACTGAAGACAAATACAATCTGTCCCTGTCCAGCTCCCTGGTTTTGCTGGTTTTGGGACTGCCTCTTTGCCTCAGCTGGCTGGACAAGGGTCTCTTCAAATTGGGAGAGGCCGTAATGCAACATGGAGTGCCTCCAGGATGAACACTCAGACGTCAAGGTTTCCCATCTGTTGAGGTCCATTCCTAAGGCCTTCAGATCCCGCTTGCAGATATCCTTGTATCGCAGCTGAGGTTTCCCTCTGAGGCGATTTCCCTGCACTAATTCTCCATACAGGAGATCTTTTGGAATCCAGCCATCAGCCATTCTCACAACATGCCCAAGCCAGCGTTGATGTTACTGTTTCAGTAAAGTATACATGCTAAAAATTCCAGCTCATTCTCGGACTACTCTATTTGGAACTTTGTTCTGCGAGGTGATACCAAAAATGCATTGGAAACAACACATAGGAAATATGTTTAACTTCCTCTCCTGCCATGCAGGAAGGGTCCAAGACTCACTGCAGGACAGGAGTATACTCAGGACACAGGCTCGATAGACCTGGATCTTGGTATATGCTGTCATAATTTAAATTATAAATTTTATCATTTTACCTACCTGTTCTTTAATTATTACCTGTGCAAAGATGTGGTAGAAGTGCCAGGTAGAGATTAATGGGAAGGAGGCGAGAAAGCAAATTATGTAAAATCAGGGTGGGCTACCATCTCTGTGGAAGCCTTCAAGCACTTTTCTGCCAAACCACTTGCCTGAGAATGACAGGACTAATCTGAAACTGGGAAGAGTTGAAAACAGAAAATGAGCCTAAATAATCATAAGCCTTATTGAAATACAAGAGGCATTAGATCCAAAGGAAACAAGCCTAAGAAATTGGGGGCTGTGCTTGCAGTTATTTTTTAAGCAAGTCATGGCCATTACCTTAGGCATGGACAAGGGAGGAGATTCCAACATTCAGTACAAACATCGAACTACATTCCAAATAAGAAAAAAATAAGAATGTTCATAAGCGGTAAAATCCTATGAATTTCCAACTAAAGCCAAAGTTGTCAAAAGTTGCCAAAAGTAAGGAAGCTTTTAAAACCGGAATGCGATGGAGCATCAAAGACTGGGACGCCCACTGTCTCCCAGGGATAGGAACTCAAGCAGTGGGACTCGCTGTCAAGTCAGACCTAAGTCACACCAGTGCTTTGACTTCAGTTTCTTTGCTTTTTTAAAATGACTCAGACTCGACTCATGACTTGGAACCCACTTACCCCATCCCGTCTTTCTGGGGAAAAGAGCTTGTTTTTAATAGGGACTCGGACTTGAGTCTCAGGACTCGGTACCAAAGACTCAGACTTGGGATTCAGACCCAGAGACTAGCCAACATCCCTGCTGTCTCCTAGTCAACCTCTTTCCTGTTCCTGGTAAACTGAGAGATATTCTAATTCAATTGATTCAGCAATGGATGTGCACGGTAGTGGGTGCTAAAGTAGAGTCATACACACATTGACTACAATGGAAGGGCACATTGAGATATGCATTTGCAACTACAATAATGCATGACACCAGCATTAACTGGATAATGTGGTTAGATAACTCTTTCAGTGTGCACAAATATATATTTCTGTTCTATGTCCAGGGAGCATTATTTGTTGCATGAAAATAGTTGTGTGTGGTTCAAGTTGGATCATAACCTACATCTTTAAAAGAATTTGTATAAAAACAGAAAAGGAGTGGCAAGAGGGATTTTGTCAATGACATATGTTTAACATTACTGTTGTACTTTTCAGTATCAGTACTCTTGACTATAGCCTCTGCCAGGACAGAGTTTTCCATCTCTACCATCAGTCATAGGTTTTCCTCCCCCAAACAGAGAAATCAGTCATCTCTTTGGTGTGAAAACAAATTCTCCCAGTGTGGTCACAAGCTGAGCTAACACGGAAAACATTTCCTACCAATGTTTGTGGAGGATGGTCCTTGTCCCCAGACGTTGTGTTTCATTTCAGATGAGAGCTGTGAAATCTGCCTGAGGCTGGGAATCCCACCCTCCCTTTGGTAGAACGGAAATGGTGTTGAAAGCCGAGCATTTGGCTTCAAGGGCAAGGATTCTTTCTGAGCCTCAAACACAGAGCTGTAAAATGTATAAACTGTATAAAGGATTCCCGTGGAGGGTATGTGGCAAGCAAGAACAACAACATCCAAAATTTCCAGTATTTGCAGATGCCTGTCCAAGAACCCGTCAATTTCTTTCATTAATAAAACAAAGGAAATGAGCACCGTTAACGAGGGATGCTTGACACAGAAAACAGGAGACCAAGAAGAATCAAGAATGTAATTTGTCTTTGAATAATTGTGCACAAAGGAATAAAAATAATTGCAATGGCATCACTGCAACATAGAGAAATCTACTACCTAACTAGAATGTTTTTTCTTTTTCTCCCCCAATGTCACAACTCTAGTTAATATAAGGAATGTTCAAACAAACATCCCGCTGAGAGGAAGAGTGGGATCTTGCCCATCCCCATAGCCCATTGTCTTTGTAATTTCATGAACATGATAAGGGGAAAGGGGACAACACGTGTGCTGATATGCACAGGCAGGACCCTTCATTTGAGGAGGATGTAGGTATATTCTGGGCAATCCTCCAATCTTGCTCTGGAGAAGAGACCATTTACCTTTCTGGACTAAGAAATGTACAGTCAACACAATCACTGCCCATTTTGGATTCTCAGAGCTGTAGTCCAAAAAAGCATCTTTCCCCACCTCTTCCTTACTCTTCTTCTCAGCTCAGAACATCCTGCAAGCAACTAAGGATATATATACTTCCTTTCAAAAATGAGAGAACATTCACCTACGTAACCAACCTTCCAGCTGCATCCAGGAAAAGCTTTGCCATCTCATTAGCCACTTGGACTGTCACTTAGCAGTGTAACCCCTTATCAAAAACTGTAATTCTAGGTAAAACATCAGCAATGGTATTCAACCATTTTATGCTATACTTCTGTCCAAACTTAGGTCCATAGATTCACACACTCTGTAGCTGAAATCAGAGTTTCTACTATGAAAAAAACAGAGACAGAGGCTAGAGTGCGTATTTGCTGGAGGCAGACTGCAGGGAGAAAGGACCTTACTCAGTTCTTTTTCTGATCCTCAGGGGCTTTTGCCTACAACCTCTCCTTCCAACAATTTATCCTAAATGGTTGAGGGAAAGGAAAGGAAAGTATGCTGCTTATGTACTACCCCATAGCATTTAAGGCACTCTCTGCAGATTTACGATTTAATTATGCAGGCTACACATTGCCGCCACCCCCCTCCCACAAACTGGATAATCAATTTACTGAACATGAAAGGATGGAAGGCTGAGTCAATCCTGAGCCTGTCAGGATCAAACTCGGGTCCTGAGCAGAGTCTTGACTGCAATACTGCATTTTAACCACTGCACCAATCTCTTAGTCAGGGAACTCAACAATATTTGTGAGGAAAAGAAAATGAAGGGAAGGATTAAGCATATACACACATTACCTGCCACTTCTCTGCATATTCTCCCATCCCTGGTTAGCACATCAAAATCACATTATAAAATAATGTACTTCAATACTCAAAACACACCAGCAAGTTAGGCCCTAAAAGAGAATGTGACATATTATTCAGCAGAAGCATGGAACTCAAAATGGAAGCTTCCTGCATGTGATCATTTATGACTAGAAAGTCTCTATTGCCTCCTGATATACTGCAGTCCAAATATTCCAGAATGTCATTACATGTATGTCCTATTGGGAATGTTTTTCAGACCTGTAATTGTGTCTCATGGTTCTGCCATCACTGGCACATAAGGTTGCATCATCTTATTATGCCAGCTGGAGTCTTGGACTTGGACTTCTATAGCTGGGGAGACACTTCTCAGGGCGAGCAGCACTGGAGGCAGAAAAGTATACTTTTTGTTGTGGGGTGACTTCAAACTAAGACTGGGCAAGCCATTCCAGTTGCTGCCAGGCTCACTAACTCAGCTTGAAAGCATTTGTGTGTGTGTTGTACTTCAAAAATATTGCCACACTAAATAGCCAGAAGCAAGTGGAGTTGATTAGAGACAAAGCTAGTGGGTTGCTGCCCTTGTTTGTTTGTTTGTCTGTTTGTTTGCCCAGTTTTCTCCTTAAAAAGGGACCCAAGGCAACTTGTTGTTCCATTTGAAGCAATAGACTAGAAGGGCACCAGAACTGCAGCTCTTGAGACTTCTTGTCACACAAGCCATGGCAGCAGTGGCATATGGGCTGGAGTAGGGGGAACTTCCCTGTGGGCTACCAATGAGCCTGGAAAAATTCCCTACGTGACATGTGTGCTCTAGGTAAGGCAACCCGATGTAAGCACTAGTGAGAATGGAGGAAACCAAGTTGCTGGATATATTTTTCCACCTGGCTGGCAGTTGAAAATGTTGTT